TCGAAACTCGAGTGTGGCAGCAATTTCAGCGGCTACATTAGAGTTGGGCTACCCCTAGCTGATGACGGCAAATAGCCAGAAATACGTATTCTAGGTTTCCTTCTGCCTTGCCGGAATACTACTTTAACTGTGATACTCTCACCGACCTTGTCCCAATGACAGGGCAATGTCAAGAATACCGGCCGCATCGGCTGCCAAACTTGAACAGTCCGTTTACACGTGCCTCACACGAGCCGACGTTCATTACATGTGCCATGATTTCATGAGGCGCTCAGATCTCACATTTACGGGTGCCATAAAGGCCACATTAAGAAGGACCATTTTAGCATGCCTCCCCCCCAGTCTTCTAGATTACTTTCACGATGACCGGGTTAGCCCGCCAGCCGAGGCCACGACTTGTAATGCGTCATAAGAGCTTCCATCTCTTCAGACCTATACATTGTGACGAGGACACTGATTTGACATGGAGATGGGTTCCGCAGTTTCGGTCGCACTATCTCCTCCCTCTCTCATGCATCAGTCAGTCGTCGGAGCATATCAATCAACTGGTAATTAGATTGACAAAATTGAAGAGCTGATTTGCGCGTACCATCTAGGACCTAGTCCTCATTATTCTTACCAAATTACAATAAAACCGACTACGATCTCACGTGCATGGGAGGTCGATGCAACCAGTCACTTCGGCGGGGGGCGAAGCTGCTTGCCTCATTTCTCTATTTAACCTGTTTTTTATGCCTCCAGCTTATTTCTTATAACGCACCGAAGAACCAGTCGGAAAGCTGCAAAACGTCACGTACGCTTTCGATGCTCGAATTTTATTTCTTACCGACTTCAGTCTTTATTCTGTATTTACAATTAGAGTACTTCGCCTGGATATTTTCCATTTAAAGGCACATTCAGTAGATTGCTGCCGCTGCTTTACGGTTGTCTTGTACAGTTTAAGAGAACGTAGTGAGTGGTTCAGTAACTATAGTCAACGCTAGCCTTTTCTCTCATGTTATCTTTTTTTCCTCCACGCAGCATCGGAATCCTATGAGTACGTGGATGTTCTGGCTGAAGATGCCCGATCCTGTGAGGAATTTCGCGGCACCCTGATTCTGGCCGAGGACTTGAAAATTGTGAAATTAGTATCGGTACCAATGTGAGGATCCCTTATCAATCTCCTTTCCCTGTTTACCACTTATTCAGGATAATTATTTTTCTTACATATCCTTTGCAAATAAAAATTGGCAGTTAACATGCCTTCTACTGTCTGCCATGTCAGCGCTTGAGTACTCTCTGAGACTTTTCGTCGCTATTTACGATCTGCAATGTAATTGCCAGCAATTCTTTCTTTTTGGATAATAATCAGAGGGCAGGCTTTCCAATGCACATAAAGTGCTGATCAAGCAACTGCCGTTCAGAAAAAGCAAGTACTAAATGGCGGATATTGATCTGCAGACTTAACGTCGGGTCTATATAGTGTCTATGCAGCCGTAGACAAGGAGATCAAAGATTTAACCATGTTTTGGCAATGTATTCGGCTAGGTCTTGACTCAAACTCTATTCTCCTTCCTCTAGAGCTCCGTCGTTGTTGGCAGCAACACTGGCGAGGGACCGAGATTGTGCCCTAAGTAATTTCTCTCCAGTGGACTCACGTGAAATTGTGTAGAGGGTTGACAGATTCTGCAAACTTTACTCAGAGGAAGGTTCTCAGTGTTGAAACGGTAGCCATGGCCGAGATGTCGCCGCCCAATTACGCCTTGTGTGAGTCCCCGAAGGAAGACCACGACAAGAAGAACGCAACAGCAGAGGTTTTTGAGTGTAAAAGGTACAACATATTTAAAGCAATAAACGCGTGTTAACTATGTCCGTCGGGCCAATCAGCTTCTGGCGTGGCTTGTGGCACGATTGGCTGGTGACTCATGGCTGACTGTAGCTTGAATTTTAAATTATTGATTGATTGTCTGTCAGTATACTTCGTCGCCTGTAGGCCGATCGATAGCCTGCCGTGAGCGCGCTCGCTACCTGTACGCTAGCTCGCTGCTAGCTGTCCGTTAAGCGCCTCCTAACACTCAGAAGGCGATTATCAAGCAATTTCGACTTTCGCTCGTCATCTACGTAAACATAATTTCCTAACTGACCGCACGAAATGACGTTTACTTTCTTCCGCATTCCTGTCGCGCTGTAAATTCTGTGATCACACGGTACCCAAAGGACTAAGACGTATGCGCAGGCAACCTTTGAGACAGTCAGCACAGGTGTCCACAAATTCGGTTGTCACATCACGCCTGGTCATTCACGCCCACATCCTCCTAGCGGGCGGACGTGCACTTCGGGGTCTTTGACCACCGCACGGTGGAAAGGTCGTTCCGGCAAACAAGTGTTATTTGGTCAGTCATCGTCAGGCTGATACATTAACATGGCGAAGGAAACAGTCAGTTATGTACAGTGTTTATATGGTCCTCGTGGTGTGGTGTAGGCTGCTTAGTCATTCATGTCAGTGTATAGGCCTGACGACGAATGACCGAAAATAATTGTTTGCAAAAACAACTTTTCG